TCCTGATCTTCTACTAGAGGGGACGAGATCTGTTCATAAATGACAGAAAAAATGTCACAGAGTTCCTCCAAACCGGGGTTTGAGCTGAACTGCAGCGTGAATCCCAGATGAAACGATTCGCCCATCCGTCTGGAGGCGCGCGTTCATTGCCACCCATTATAAGCTATAAAGCGGGCAAGCATTTATGCTGTGAAAACTCACATACATGCTGATGTGAACTGGAGCGCGCTGATGATCATGTTGTGTGCAGCTGCTCGGTGTAACGCTCGGAAGCGGGTGCACATATGAGCCGACGCGCCCTGAGGGTCGTGTGTGTGCGTCCTCATGCGACGCTTTAAGCCAGGATTGCCGCGGGGGCGCGCGTTGGCACTGGTGCGGTAAGGAGGCACCACGCGCCAACGGTGGAGTGGGGTTACCACTGGATCGGTCTGCAGAAAAACGTTCATCGTTTGCTGCGGGTCACGTGAACTTTTGAGTGATTCCACGAGCTGCAATATTAATTCAGACAAAACCCCTTCTTCGAGGATGTATGAGCTGAGCCGCTATGAAGGCTTGTGGGGCTGCTGACGCCGCGGGAGTGCGCGTTGGCACTGGAGCGGTCAGGAAGCATCGCGCGGCATCGCTGAAGCGAGGCTACCCCTGGCTCGGTCTGCAGAAAAAAACGTTCATTCTTGGCTGCAAGTCACGTGAACTTCAGAATGATTCCATGCGCTACAGTATTAATTCAGAAAACCTTCTTCGAGGATAAAGGAGCAGAGCCGCTGTGAGGCTTGTGAACTGCTAACGCTACGGGAGCGCGCGTTGACACCGCTGCAATGACAAAACGTGTATCGCTTCTGCCGGGAGCGAGATACGTTGCTGAGCTTGTACCGTGGTCTCACGTGAACGTTGACGTGAACGGCGGGCGCTGAGAGCTGCGTGCACGCTTTCATGCCGCGGAGCGCGCATCGGCACCGCTGACAGTGAATGAAAACAACCTTAAAAGGCTCATTCGTGATGAGTGTGTGTGATGGAGCCGCTTGTCAGATAAACCATGCTGACAGCCTGGCTAGGAGACACTTCAT